GCAACACATTAAGTATGGTTCTACTAGAGTAAAATATAGTTTACTGTATGTTTTCTTGTATATTCACAGCCACCAAACATTTCAAATTTCTTCTAAGAATACTAAAATAGCCTGTGACATAACAATATAATTCACATGTTTTACTATTTGGATTCAACAAAATAATTAACTAGTCAGGCAATTGCTCCAAAACTAAAACTAGAACTGTAAAACAGTACAAATGTTAAGAAAGGATTTCATTTGACAGGATACTATACAACGTATTTTCATCTATATTATTGAGATGTTATCTTCAGGATTATATCCAATTCATATGTTATTTAATTTACCCTACACTAAAGGCTTGGACACGTATAGCTAATCAATACACAATAATTATTATTTAATCTAGGTGATTCGAGAGCTTGGTCGATAGCGAAACTGACGTTGATACCGAGGAAGCAATGTCATGGGTTCGAATCCCACTGAACCATTTATAAATTTCAAGATTGTATCAGTACAGTTCATTATTGTTCTGTTACAGTTTATAAAAAAATACATAAACGAATATAAATTACTTTATTTAGATCTTCAATAATATTTTGTAATTAAAGACAATTGTACACATTAAGATTAGTCTATTTTACATTCATCTTATCTCGACTTCATATTTTGTACAATTTAATCATATATAAAAGTATAATATTTTCACAATTCAGTCAAAATACTAACTGAATTGTATAAACTGCTGTGATATTTGTATTTTAGTTTACACCTGCTGCATATGTGAAATGTATGAGGAGGATATTTAAAAAATCTGAAACACCAGCTGGAATGTTATAAACCGAGAGAATTGCATAACAGAGTCTATTATTTGGGAAATTTTATTGTTATTGGTGTATAGTGTTAGTAGTTTCAATTGGTGTACGTAAAATATCCTAAATATATTTATTACAGTTTGTTTGATTCAACATCTAGTTTTATGGAAATGGAAGTGAATCAACCAGAAAAAGTTAATGGAAATAGACTTAATTTTCAAATTATATGAATCAAATATACGCTATTTACAGATCTATACTTACATAAAGGTAGGTAAAAAATAATTCTAAATTCAAAAAAAAAGAATAAAAGCAAAGTAAGTAAAAACATCTGACATACGAATCCAATACGTTTACCATTAATACAAAATATTAAGGTATCCAAATATATGTACACAGTATTTGTATTTTCCTTAAAATGTGCCATCAAGGATTTGTTCTTGTATTTCCCGGGGTGGATTTCCAAGCAGGTCTGACAAGGCTGTTTTCTATTACATCACGTTGGGCCTGTGGGAAATGCAGTGAATTTTAACAACATAAAATAATAATTCACTACTTAGGCCTATTTACTTACACTTTAATGGAAAAATAAATTTTCGTGACAGCTTACACATACATCAATTTATAACTGTATTTAGTTTGAGTAATTATTATCATACCTTAAAACTATGCCTCAGCAGTGTGGATATAGTTGTTTTAATTCTAGAATATCTATTGGTTAAAAAAAAATTATATTGTATAACCATATTAGAAAAAGAGACGCTGATATTCAAGGATTAGAGTTTTTTTTTTTACTTATACACTGGAAAATTGAAATAAGTTTAAATTACTTTTAGGTGACAACTGTAATATAGTAGCAATAGGACCATATTAGATTATTAGTAACCGGAAACATTAAGTTACTGGGTGGCTGCACTGCCTACATCGGCGTGGAGCTCCCTGATTGGCTGCCGATCGGTCAAGGAGTTTTCCGCCTTGATGATCGTCACTTCGATTCTAGCAAGGTGCGTAATTAGATGTCGCCATGTTTCCTTCTTAGTAGTTATTACAAATGGCGCAGTCGTAGTAAAGTTAATTTTGTTCAACTTCTTTTTCGCGAGTGCGGATTGTTGAAAAATTAATTTGAGGAACCATGTCGACCCGTTCAATAGGGAGTATGGGGGAATTTAACCCTCATGAAGAGGATATTTCGTCATATTTAATGAGGCTGAAACACTACTTGAAGGCCAACAGCGTAAAGGAAGGATCGGAGTTATCCATTTTGATTACTGTAATTGGACCAAAAGCTCTGGCTGTTCTCACGGACTTAGTATCACCAGATTCGGTAGATTCCAAGGATTATAAGGATCTGTTAAAGGTGTTGGAAGCACATTATTCTCCAAAAAGGTTAGTGGTAGCCGAACGCTACACGTTCTACTCACGTGTTCAGCGCCCCAATGAAAGTATTGCTGATTTTATGGTAGCAATTAGGCATTTATCAAGCACATGTAACTTCAAAGCCTTTCTTAAGGATGCACTCAGGGATAAATTAATATCTGGAATCCACAATGAGGCAATTAGGCAAAAACTTCTCAGTGATGAACAAGATTTGGATTCAACTTTTTCATTAGCACTAACCTTAGAGCAAGCTGAAAAACAAACTAGTCTTTTTGTAGGTTCAGGGAACCATGTTCATGATTTAAATAAAATGAGTCTAGGTCCACGTAAAGTAGGCCTAAGTGCCAAGCATGGAGTTAAATCAGCTAAGTTTTCAAGGTCACCTGAGGTAGGCCTAGTTGGCCAATTTCATAAGCTAAAATGCTATCGTTGTGCGAAAGAGCACAAGGCTCATGAATGTCCTTATATCAATTTTAAATGTAATATATGTAAAAAAATTGGACACCTTGGTAAGGTGTGTAGGTCAAAGGATGTGTCTGATAGTAGGCCTAGGACTAACAAAAAAGTGTTTAAGGTTCACAATGTTGAAGAGACATCGGAAGTTTTACAGGACTTATGTCTGTATAGTGTAGGCCTTGGAGATGGAAAGGCGGGTTATGAAGTAGGGTTGATGATTGAAAACCATAATGTGACCATGGAGCTCGATACAGGCAGCGCCCTTACGGTCTGCCCCTTTGAGTGGTATCGTAAATATTTTTCACATCTGGCTTTAAAGCCTTGTTATGTAAAACTACTTACCTATTCAGGAAATGAAGTAAGTGTGTTGGGACAGATTTTGGTTAGAGTAAAAGCGGCCAACCAAATTTATCAGGACTTGCCGTTAGTTATTGTAGAGTTAGGCCAAACGGGTCAACCAATGTTGCTAGGTAGAAACTGGCTTGAACATGTAACCTTAGACTGGAAGTCTATATTTTCTCAAGATAAAACTGTAAACCGCTCCGACGAGCACGTTTTTAATAGGCCTAGCCTAAACTCTATTGACAAGTTACCTAACCTAACTTCACTTCAATCAGCTGACTCGGTTCAGCCTAGGGCCAAGGAAGATGTTAAGCATTTAAGGCAAAAGTTTTCTTCTGTGTTTGAAGGAAAATTAGGTTCAATCAAGGGTGTGAAGACACATATAATTTTGAAAGATGGAGCTGTACCGAAGTTCTGCAAATTTCGTCCAGTGCCGTTCGCTCTTCGCAAACAAGTGGAAGAGGAAATAGACAAGATATGACAAGATGTGATGATGGAATTGCTTATCCTGTTTTGAGTTCCGACTGGGCAACCCCACTGGTTGTTGTGCCTAAGCCTACAGGAGTTAGGCTATGCGGGGACTTTAAGGTAACGTTAAACCAAGTTATCCAAACTGAACACTATCCTTTACCTCAACCCGAGGATATTTTTGCTTCATTATCTGGTTGTTCTGTGTTCTCTGTTATTGATTTACAAACAGCCTATCTTCAACTGGAGGTCGCTGAGGATTCACAGGAGTTGTTAACCTTGGCAACACATAAAGGATTATTTCGTCTTACTCGTTTGCCATATGGCCTATCCAGTGCACCTGCTTTGTTTCAGGCAGCTATTGATGAGATAATTAAAAATCTTCCCGGTACGGTAGCGTACCTTGATGATGTCTTGATTGGCGGACATTCATACCCTGAAGCAGTGTCTAGGTTGGAGCAAGTTCTTCAACGCTTCCAAGAATATGGAGTGAAGGTTAACGATAGTAAATGCAAATTTTTACAACCTGTTGTAGACTATTTAGGTTATAGGTTGTCGGCTGAAGGTATAAGTCCACGAGAAGGGCTAGTGGAAGCCATCAAGGATGCCCCGGAACCAGCAAGTAAGGAGGAGTTGAGATCATATATAGGACTCATTAATTACTATGGTAGATTTATTTCCAATATCTCTGATAAGCTGAACTGTTTCTATGAGTTGTTGAAAAAGGATGTTCCTTTTGTTTGGTCTAGGAAATGTGCTGAAACTTTTAAACAGAGTAAACACTGGGTGTTATCTTCTGATATTCTTGTACATTATGATGTCAATAAGCCACTAGTGCTTACATGTGATGCAAGCCCTCGAGGCGTGGGGGCGGTGTTGTCCCATTTGATTGATGGCGAAGAGAGGCCTATTGCTTTCGCCTCTAAAACTCTAAGTCAAAGTGAGAAAAATTATTCTCAGCTTCATAGGGAAGCTCTAGCATTAGTATTTGGTGCTAAGAAATTTCATAAGTATATTTACGGGAGAAAACATGTCATAATACAGAGTGACCACCAGCCGTTGGCTACTATCTTTGGCTCAAAGCGAGGAACCCCAAGCCTAGCCGCAGCGCGCCTACAGAGATGGGCCCTGATTTTGGCTTCGTATGACTTCGAAGTGAGATATCGCAAGGCGTCTGATGTGCCACATGCCGATGCCTTATCCCGGTTGCCGTTACCGGCAAGTGATTCACTGGAACTGGAAAACAACTTTATCTCGCACACTCAGGAATGCGTGGAGGTACTAAACTGCTTCAGCACGGTGAGTACCGAATCACCTATCACTTCTAAGGAAATTGCTAAATTCACTGGTACTGATCCTATATTATCTAAAGTAAGAGATAATGTTTGGCACGGCTGGCATGGCGCTGTGGATAAAGAGTTATTGCCTTATGTAAAAAGGAAAGATGAACTTTCTGTGGATAGTAATTGTATTCTGTGGGGGGCCCGTGTGGTCATTCCGACAAAATTGAGGAATCAAGTTTTAGAATTGCTTCATGATCAACATCCAGGCATTACACGGATGAAGCTGTTATCACGTAGCTATGTGTGGTGGCCCGGTATAGAACAAGGTATTGAAGAAACAGTGTCTTCTTGTTATATTTGTCAGTGTACGAGGAATGCAGCTCCAAAAGTCCCTCTCCAACAGTGGCCCCGTGTGTATGGCAGATGGCAACGGGTGCACATAGATTTCGCTGAAGATACTAATTCTAGGCAACAAATGTTAGTACTAGTAGACAGTTTTTCCAAGTGGATCGAGGTGTTTGTTATGAAATCTACTAGTTCTCTCAAGACCATTGAGCGTCTCCGTTCACTTTTTGCATCGTATGGGCTTCCGGACACTCTAGTATCTGATAATGGCCCTTCTTTTACAAGTTTTGAGTTCAAAGAATTCTTAAAGAAGAATGGATTAAGGTTTGTCTTATCACCTCCTTATCATCCTGCGTCAAATGGTGCGGCCGAGCGGTGCGTTCAAGAAGTGAAGAAGAACCTGTTGAGACAGGTGTTGAGTGAAGGTGGTACTGGTTCTCTGACTTTGCAACATAAACTTGATAACTTCCTAATGACATACAGAAATACACCTAACACTGTAACAGGACTTACCCCGGCAGAATTGTTTCTCAACTGGAAACCTAAAACTAGGCTTGCACTTCTCAAACCTAACCTCAACGCTCGTATTGACACGAACCTGGACAGACAGAAGGAGAGTTCGGATAGGCATAGGGGAAGGGCAAGGTCCTTTGAAGTTGGAGAGAAAGTGTTCGTCAAAACTGTCAGGCAGGAGAAAATTGATTGGGTACCTGGAAAAGTTCTGGAAGTAAAAAGTTCTGTAATATATCTTGTTAGTGTATTGGGAAAAGTTAGGCGTTGCCATGCTGACCACCTCAGGTCTAGAGTGAACATGGAAGAGGAGGGGATAGCAGTGCCAAGTTGTGAGCCAAGGTCTCCCATGAAACCAGTACTTCCTGAGCGAGGAGAAACTTCAGAGGACAAGGAGAGGCAGCAAGTTTCGCCCAGGCGGCAATCTCCATTGAAGGACTCTGAGACTGCAGCGGTCCAGCCAAGACATGAAGACTCACCTGCGGTAGTGCAGTGCAGCCCGCCCAATCTTAGAAGGTCAAAAAGGACAATTCAAAAGCCTGAAAAGCTAGACCTTTAAGCTATTCAGGCAGAAGTGAGAAGAGTTTATTTTAGTTTTATGAGAAGAATTTTTAAGTTGGAATCAAGGTTTAATTAATAAAAATGAAAAAAAGAAATTATTATGAAGAGAAAGTTTTATGTTTGAAGAGTATGTTATTTGTGGTCTTACAGCAGTAGTGTGGGCCTAATCTAAATGGTGGCGAGTGTAATATAGTAGCAATAGGACCATATTAGATTATTAGTAACCGGAAACATTAAGTTACTGGGTGGCTGCACTGCCTACATCGGCGTGGAGCTCCCTGATTGGCTGCCGATCGGTCAAGGAGTTTTCCGCCTTGATGATCGTCACTTCGATTCTAGCAAGGTGCGTAATTAGATGTCGCCATGTTTCCTTCTTAGTAGTTATTACAACAACCGAATTTTATCATTTCAATTTTATCAGCAGTTGAAAAAGTGAGTTGGAGTATTTCCTTAAGCCCAACCTTGGTATTATGAACTTATGCTACTCATGTGATTCTTACAAACGTGTTGTTTATTCGGCTAAATAAGGTAATTCTAAGCCTTTTCCTCTGTAACTTTTTAGGCAAACACCATTTTCACCCCGAAATTTGCGTTTCAAGGTTGCCTTGTTTAGGCATGTGTTTCAGGTTAGCACTTTACGTAATTTTGGGCATTAAGTGTTTTAAGGTTAGGTTGGATTAGGAATATGAAGTATACGTTACAAGGAACCAAATTGTTAGTTTATGATACCTCCAGACTGTTTTGCTCAATTAACACACTAGGGAAACACTGATGAATTTATTTGTAGGCCTAATGCCTGTAAATCAATCTTTAGGCAATACAAAATAATGACCTACAAAACTATTCCTCATAATTTTATTTCACACAAAACAATACGATATAGGTGTAAATAGCTTAACATATTTCTAGATCGGTTAACATAAACGAGTTTGATGCATGACCAGAGAAACAATAAAACTGTGGATTTTATGCTAATATCCATAGCCTGACTTCTCGTACAGTCGAAATGACAACGATGGCTGTTTATTGCTCACCCTAGATTTTATATCTTGGCATCGTTTGGCTATATCGATTTCCCATAAATGCATGCCATAGTTTATATCTTTGATAGTTTGAATGCGATTGATTCGACGAGATTGGTGAAGAATTTTGGTAGAGCTACATTTTTATATACTTTATATATTTTATTTATTGTATTATGTAATATTAATGAGTAAACGTTTGATTTATTAAAAGTACTTTTAACGTAAGTCAAACGTAATTCTGTGTACATTAAATGGTTTTGGTAAAAAAATCATTTGGTAACCCTTATCTTTGCAACAGCTTACGTATTTAAAAAGTTTAAAAATATACAAAATTTTTTGAGGCTTATTGCTAATGCCTTCTTAAAATACACCTTCCTTATCATTGAAATATCAGGATAGTTCTAAAATCGTGTTTTAAGAAACCTTATTGTTTCTGTTATTAATATCTTTTTACTCTTTTATTCAGAGTGTATAATTTAGTTTGATAAACACAGTCACTACTTTGAAATCGGATTAACAATGCTGTAACATTGACATCATGTCTAAACCTGAAGTCTAAACTTCAGGTTGTTAAAAGTAAAAATGTATATAGATAACTATTTTAATCTGTATTCCTGCAAAGGTGCATATTAAAATTACTAGCTAAACGGAATTACGTAATGCGTAAAGTTTCTAAGGTATGTAAATAGTAGAAGTCATCACACTTGTCTGTGCTCACGTAATTTCCGAGTTTTCTTAGCTGAGGTAATATCAACAACTATTACGCTTTTCTACTGGTTTTCTGTTGACTTTTTTTTTGTTGTACCAAAAAAACAAGAGACACTTCTTGTCAACGTAACGAACCTTTACAGAATCAATTGTTGCCCCTTGACGAGGTATTCTTCTTGGAACGGTGTTTCAAGCGTTGCTGTGGTTTTTTGTTAAATATAATCACATACGAAACACAAAACATGTTATTAAATTAATTAACCCTTATTATTTTGTATTTCTTATATATTTACGTTTTTAGATGCTTGTTCGACTAATAGGCTGTTGTTGCATGGGGAAAATCCATTAAAGATTGTAGAAACTGTATAGGATTTTTTATTGGAAAAGTAATTATAATAAATTTATTCAATCAAAACGAACAGTTACAAACGTGTGTAACACGTTAGTTTTTGGATTGTTGACAAGAAAATACAAGGAGGATTTATTGTTTTTTAATGAGAAATGTGTTATTACATTAAAACGTTAAATACATTTTTTCACGTAATACTCTTATGATTTTTACGCAGACAATATTTAGCATTTAAAGAAGAACAAAGAGAAAAATATTATGCGGGCTCACAAAGAATTGAAGGAAAATTACGTTGTGCAAACAAACAAATAATTAATGTGACAAATGTTATTTTTACACAATCCTTTTGTGTTTCGCTCGGTAATTACTGTAAAGGCGAGAGCACGATTTCATTCATGCTTGAATAATTAAGCTTGAGCTTTCTTGTAATTCATCAAACGATTCATAAACAAATGAATATTTTGAAAAAGCCTAGTTAGATTTATGGTAAAGCGGTTTTCAATATGCCACAGTAATAAATATACAGAGTCGTTTGAAATAGTAATCTTGTACATTATTAAAATTTTTTTAGAAGTTAATGGCCTTTTTTGAAACTAATAATTAGATAAAATAAGCCTAAGATCGTCAATCCTTTTTTAATCAATATACTATTTGTTGATATAAATATTCTGTTAATATTGTAAGTGATTATAATAAGAAAAGTTTTGTGTTTATATACGTTTTACAAAGGGTAAACAAGGGTACTAGCAGAATGTGAAGTATACAGGACATTCATTAATCCAATCTAGTTATAACAACAATCTACGTTGTGTGGACTACTCAGACAATTGATTTAATATTAAGTAATAATATCAAATTTTTGCAAAAATATATTACATTTGATCGTTAAAATCGTTCGATGTTCGAAAAACTATTTAACATGCATCATTGGAGACCGAAAATATTAATATTTTAAAGCGGACGTTATATAAGGCAATTTAGTACTCACTCTAAACACATGTTAATACTTATGAATATAATTATTTTACGGTTCAATACCGTTATCTTATTGACAAATATTTCTTGTTTTGATAATAACCCTGTCAGATTAATATGAACACTATTATTAAATATTAATGATTTCCTGTTTTTGTGATTTTCTGTAACTAGCAAAAGTAATTAATTCAAGTTCCGATTAATTTTAATTAATAACCAATGTAAAAGGTAATTTTCAACTAATAATTAAATACAATTACGCTGAGATAATTAATCCTTTTTAAGTAATAAATTATTTATTCTGAAAGAAATATTCTGTTAATATCGTAAGTGATGGTAATGAAAATCCTGTGGATTTATACGTTTTAAAAAGAGCCTCTCTTTGTTCTCCTGCTTTGTTTAGAGTAATAGAAATACCTTTGTAAAAAACGTATCCTTGTGTTCTTACAGTATTCATGCAAATTACAAACATTAACGTTTCCTTTGACCAAAGACCATAACCATGAATCCAGAATATTAACCATAAAGAAATGGCCCAACAAACTTCTTGCCCATATTTTATCAATACATATTTTTAAATAAATTTAGAAAGTACTTTTTTCTTTTGTATATTTTGAATTAATATTGTTAGATGAACACAATTTGTACGTAGTGATTATGGAGATTCTAGTATGAATCAAATTAAAATAATTATATGATAAATTGTAAGTGTAAGTTGTCTTTGTACCTGTGCCCAAAATGGAGGACCAACGATATGCTTGAAATCAATTTTTGAAATAAATAAATAAATATATGCTGCAATAAGGCTTAAAAGATAGATTAACTTACACTCCAAGTCAACGGCTACTGTAAACACAAGGAAATGTATGGAAAACGTATAGACTTTCCTATTAAGCAACACTTGATAAAAACTACAGAACTTCATAAGGAAACTAAAAAATATACCTTTTTGCTAGTAATTAAATAGGCTAGTTTAATTCAAGACACTAATGAAAATAAATAACACAATTAACAGAGTATCAAGTTGGTGACAGTTCGGGATTTAAACTGAATGAAGACAGCAAAGAGCTTTTAGCATAAATTCTGCTTACAACAGTTTTGACAACACCCCTGAGCATCACAGGCCGGTAATATTGTAGCTTATATAGGTAACAGTGGTAACAGCATAACTAGTTTAACAGTGGGACTACAGACGTATAGTGTACTTCCACTGCATTTCACCACTACAACTACTAGCAAATCGTTTGAATATATTCTACATTGAAATACCTAGTAGAAATTCAGTAGGAAATTTACACAAACGTATATTTATAAATTATCGAGACATTTCTGAGATGTCTCAGGTTCGTTACTGCCACTAATTTTTATCAGGGCTGCACTTTAGTATCTGTCCTACACTCATTCGAATGAATAATATCGATATATAGATTATTCAATGTATCGATTATTGTATTCGGTTATTTAGGTTAGGTTAACCTAATTAACCAAACTTTATATATCGAATGAAATAATCGATATATTAATTCGATATATTCATCGACAGATACTAAAGTGCAGCCTTTATCAATACAGTTCACCCTTGTACCGTTCTGCGTCATCCCTTGTTTTGCTGGATATGTTTCATGCACAGGTAATCCACTTGCTAGGGGGGTTCCTGTGTGCATTTTATGTATAGAAAAACACCCTAAGGGATCATGTAGGTACTATGTGGGTTATCATTTTTCACCTGGGTGCCAGCTTGGCAGAGTGGGCATAACCTCAGAATCCGCCATTTTAAAAATGGCGGCGGCATTTATTACATGAAACTCATCGGGAGCTTATATCTCGAAAACGGTAATATATAGCAAGTTACTTTTACTACAATAAATGTTGCTTACACAATAAGGAACAACTTTTGTATTTACAAAAATGCCCTAAATATAACTATTTAGGAGTAGTTGA